GTCCCACAAAGTCTTTAGATAGCCCCAGAAAAATACAATCAATCTTGTTCCCACTTCAATTCTCATACTACGGGGGGCGGGGGGGAGGCAGAAAGAATTTTTCAACTAATGTTTCTCTTTTTTTGTACCAAGTTCTCTTTTTGTATATTTATTTTTTTAACCCAGGGGGAGCACTGAGGGTTTAGGTGCAATTAGGGTTGGGAAGAGTAAAACACCAAAAGGTTCAAGAGACTCAGAAAGGCTAGATGAAGAAGAGGTGAGAGAAACACACACATCGGGAGAGTGACTGAGAGGGAGTATGGGGGGTGAAAGAGAGCTCACAGAAGACCCACTTTCAAAGTCACTTGTGAGCCTTCTCAACTTTTTCAAAAGAGTACTTGAAAAGGAGTCTCTCCTTCAAGGAGAAGCCAGGCTCTGCCACAGCAGGTCCCCTAGTAGGGGAACCTCAGGAAAGGCTTTACAATCCTGTGAAGACCAGAGAAAATGTCCTGGAGACTCCCCAGTAAACTTTCAGCAGGAAACACACAGGTCTCAACAGCAACATCAAAGTGAAGGAGAATTCCTCAAGGATCAGGATAAAGTCTTTGAACCAAGAGAACAGGCTTGCCTCTCTGGGGCACTGGCAAAGGTAAGTGCTCATTCACTGAATCAAAAAATACTTCTTTGACACTTTCTAGGTGCTGGGCATTGTGCTAGAAAGTGAAGAAGCAAAGTGAGATGTAGTCCCTCAGAAACATACGTGTCAAAGAACTCATGGATTAGGAATCAGGACATCTCTATAACAGCTCACTGGACCTTGCTAAGCCCTCAACCAATATCTGGGTACAAAGTATTCTTTCACCAGCCTTGGTGAGGTTTTTATTTTCAGTGTTTTGTTTGATGAGAGAGAGGAGGAGGTCAGTGAGTGCACTCATGAGGGCACCTCCATAAGGACACTCAGTGATCCCTAATTCCATATGTATAGAAGAACCTGCACATCAGTTGTCAGATTCATGCCTTCCCCTGAGTTTCAGGGTTGTGGCAAGATGGGAATCTCAATCTCCTCTCTAAAGCCCTTACAGTGCAACAGCAACTAGAGACATAAAAATTGGGCTTTGAGAATACTTTTCCATGAAGAGAGAGGTCCTAAAAAGCACCTTTTAGGATACCCTGAAAGAAATGGTATTTCTCTTTATTTAGGGAAGATTCAGAGGAATAGAGGACATTAAAGGCATTCTTTTGGACAAAGGAAGACTAGAGCTTGGGGCTGTGTGAAAATAAATCCTTGCATGCCTAGATGAGGACAAAAAGATAAGGCACAGGGCCATGAATGGGGAATGTGTCTAAAGTAAACAGGGACCCCTGATGCCACTTGGACCCCTGCAGGAGGATGCTGGTACTTATACAGAGTTTGGCAAAAGGCCAATTAAGCATTCGTGCAGATCCAGGTGGTATTTCCATGTGAGACAGGGAGATGAGGGCACTTCTTTCTGAAATGACCAAGATCCATGAAGGTGGAAGAAATACCTGCACACTCCAGAAAAGCTGTGTAGTGGGAGAGCAGGTATCCTTACAAAACTCATGCACTTTCCTCTTGACCTGTTAAAGGTGGTAGGTTCATGAGAGGAACTAGAAGACATATTGCCAATAATAAAAGAAAACTACCTTCCATGATCAATAGTAGCATGGAATTGTGGCTTGGGATGCCACCTTGAATATGGACAGTTGACACTGGATAGGGACAACTGACATTTCTTCATCCGATGTAAAGTGCTAAGCAGATGGTTTCATGGACAAGGTCCCTCCACCCTCCAGATAGCACACCTAAGTGGCTGTATATCAAAATGTATGGGCCATTACTAAAATGGTGGTTAAGACTCCTATTCTCCTTTTCCATGTAAGAGGTGGTCAAGGTTAGAAATACATATTCTAAAGAGGTTTATATAAGTTTTTTTTGCAAACAGCACCATATGAGTTATGATGGAAGAAACTAGGATTTCTCAGGAATGTACAAAACGAACAGATCAGTCTGGAGGGAGAAAATGCAATGACGCCATCAGTGTTGCCAATGTGGTTAGCCTCCATCAGCGATCCATTCAGAGATTATAATGGGTATGTGTGTGAGAATGGTCCATATTGAAGCATAACCCACCCACACAGAATGGGACAAATATGACAACATCTCCCTGCCTCTGGAGCCTTTACTAAGATGTGTCATATCTTTTTCCCCCAAAGAACCCCAAGATTGCCCCAACTTATTTAAAATAAGTACCCTTTTGGAAATATTTAGTGGGGAAAGATGAAGTTCTGACTGCTACGGGTCTCCAGTTTCAGTTCAGATCTGACAGCAGCCCAATGACACCTCTGATCTCCAAATAATCAGTCACAGAGAAAACGGCACCCTGGTGAGTTTGAAGTGATTAGTTACTGCTTGGCGTGTCTCATCAGTTTGAATCTGGGAAAGCTAATCTGGATCAGGGATCTGGAAAAGGCTGTTCATCTAAATTACTCTGATCCACAGGTAGATTCTGATTATTCTGCTCCTCTCCTCTTGATCCATCTTCTGTTTCCATAGCAGCCAAAACCCCAGTAAAATGGAAGCATCTGGCAGAGGCTCAGGTAAAGTCCCCGGGGGAAATGAGTTTGCTGGATGGCCACAAAGAGGGAAAAGGACTCTTAGGTGTGCCAGTGTGAACTTCAGCAAGATAAAAGGAAGAGGGCTCCAATGCCAGAGGAGACACAGAAGTAATTGTGAGAAGAAAGGGTGGGAGCTGGGGACAGGAAGAAAAGGAAATGTGGAAAGAAAGAAAATGAATGCACAAATGTTTAGGACGCTGGGAGAGAAAGGGAAAGTAAAGAATACAAAAACAAAGCATGAAAGGGAAGACAAAATGAGAAGTTGTACAGAGGAGAAGAGGGAAAAAAGGAGTCAGAAAAGGACAAAGAGCTGAAGAGCCAGAAGAGAAAGAGAAGATACCAGACAGAGACAAAGAGAGACCTGCACAAGGGTAGGACCCAGTGCCTCTTGAAGTAAGGCAAAGTGGGTCTACCTGGGATGATGAATGTTCTGCAGGTTCTAAAGGCACAGACTGCCTTGGCATCCAATAGCACTGGTGACTCAGCATTAAACAGTGATGAATGGTGTGTACTGCGGACTTAGAATGTCTGCCCATTTCAATGACCCCTCCTTTAGATGTGCCCTAGGGCCATGTCCTTTTGTGGATGGTCCCATGCACAGCATAAACCTCCTCCCAGATTTTGGGCCAGTCCATTGTAAGGCTACTCCAAATCGAGAGAATTGCAGACATGCGGGTACTCTCTCTGATCCCTCTGCTCACAGTGGTAGCATCAGAAATGGGATGCTCCCAGCATCCCATATATGGGATAGCTCCCAGCAATTCAGGCCAAGCACACTGAAAATTGCACGCCTTCTCTGAGAACCTCCATCAGGGCAAATCTGTCACTATCTGCGAGAGGGAATTAGGTATTAGGGCCCATTCATAGCCCTAAACAGATTTTATTTAAAGATCCAAATGGAGTGGACACTGCGATGCTCTGCCACCTTCAGAAGGGGGGTAGGGAGATGTCTGGTGCTGCTGGTGAGCAGAACTCGGGTGCCACCACTTGTGCATACTGTCCCACTTAAAGACTCCTGGCCCCAGGCTACTATCCTTCAGGTGACAATCCAGATTCCGTGAAGGAATGCTCTGCTGGTGTAAAAGAACACCCTCTCACCTCAACATTGTTAAAAGGCAAAGCTAGCTCTAGAACTCTCCACAGTGTCTGCTGAGAAATTGCACAGGTCTTCATGCAACTCGGCTTCGCCCTTGGTCCAATCCTCCTTCCTTCCCTTCACAGGAGTTGATCCCAAGAGCTCCTCAAATAAACTTCTTGCACATCAATCACATTCTCAGGGTCTGTTTTTGTGGCCCCAACCTGCAACACTAAGCAGATATCTACTACTATGATTCCTTTAGAATCCTTAAAGCTGCAGCAAAACACAGACATTTATGCATACATGCGAACACACACACACACACACACACACACACATACAGTTCACATTAACCAGCAATAAGCACTGGAATGAAGCATCTTTATTCACATATCTGCTCAAATGTCACCTTTTCAAAGGCCTTCCCCAACCAAACCTCTGGTTCTTTAGTCAATGTAAACTGCTCTATCTTCTCATCCTTTTCCATACCTGTTTTACTGTATATTCATTTTCTATCACTTATCTCCTGAGATGTAAGCTCATGAGAACAGAAACTTGTATGTTTTGTTTTATTGCTACATCCTCAGTGCTCAGAAGTGCCTGGACTATTACAAGCACTCAGTACATATTTAAAAACAAATGAAATAATTTAATGCACCTTAAAAGCTAACTTAATGATAAATGACATCTCTCCTTAAATTCTGAAGTTTTAACGTTCAATCCATGAAAGCACAAAAAACATTAAGTCTGGTCTACAAAACACCTAGGCATTTAGACAAAGCAAATTTTTCAATTTAGTCACACATTGCCCTATATTTGTTATCTGGGATTAATCAGAGTGAAACAACAACAGAACCACAAAACAATTAATGGGCTAGGGACCAGATATTTGTCAACACTGAAGAAGCAGACTTGGACATTTTCCTTTCAGGACTATGGCCATTCAACACTTTCATTCATCATTGTGTGTTTGTGTTTTCAGTATCTTACAACAACCACCTGAACAATGCCAACTTTGCTGATTGTTCTATCAGCAAAGTGGACCAATGGAGTTCACCCAGAACATCTTACCACCATTTCACCCAGAAACAAGTGGGATTCATTTCCCCAGAATTTGAGAGATCCTCAAATACGATTTCTGAAATTTTAAAAGATATATTCCTGTCTTACAGAGAACACCGACATTTTCTGCAGAGGCATAAGTACATTGTTACCAGGATATCAAAAATGTAGGATCCTTTGGACCAAGTCACGAGTGCCAAGACCTCCTAACCATGGCCAACAATTCTTCCATTTCCTCTCTTACCTTTTGGGGAGATGTGTCTCCAGGTAACCGTAGGCTCTGGTCTACCCGTTGCTATGCAGGTGAGACTGATATTGTTCCCTTCATTAATGGAGATATCTGAAGAAATCTCCACAATTTTAGGAGATACTGTGGAAACAAAACAGAAGGAAAATAAAAATCTTGTTAAAACATTCTTTTGTTATCTTATAATGATAGTTGGCAGAAAAACGCAGGGGCTGAAATATCGGGGCTATAGGAGTAAATGATGAAAAATTAGGGGAATTACCTTAAACGTGAAAGAAATATCTTACCTTGAATTTAACTTCTATTTCCTCCCATTTAAACACCGAGTCTGGGAGTCTGAATGGGAATGGATTCCACTGCAATACTGCAAGAACTGTTCTCCTAGCCTCCACCCGCTTCCTTCTCCACTCTCACCCCCACCCACCTCCGACAGACATCCACGAGTCATTCTCCATGCTGCATTCAGAATCCTCTTTATATAACTCAATTCTGATTTTATCCTATCTCTGCCTAAACACCTCCAGTTGCTCCCTATCGCCTACCTGAAAATATTCAAGCTTCTCAGACCTGCACACTGGGTCATTCAGAATCAAGGAACATTCTGTGTTTCCACTGACATTCCCGGTCATCCTCCCTTTCCTTCCCCTCCTTGTTATCCCTGACCCACCATGTCCTTTCAGGCCATCACACATTCAGAATCTATATTGTTCTTTATGTCCTTCTCTCAAAACTTCTAGTCATCCTTTAAGGCCCAAATCAGATGCTATGTTGTTTCAGCTTTCCCTACCCCTACTCCTCTTTGTCCTCCGCAAATTTAAGTTACTGCTGCTTCTCATCTGTGTTCCCAGAGTACATGACACATACCTGATGTGGAGTCAGAGGGCACATCATTTAGTCATAACACACTTGGTCTCTTTTCCTTCTGCACCCTAACTTAATCCCCCAAGGAGAGGAGGGATTTATCTAATTGGTAAAATTGGGAGCAGGACCCTGCTTCCTTCAGTCTTTTGTTTTAGGAACAGGCTTCTCTTAGGAACCTATATCCTGTTGTGGTCCTCCTCATACCTGCTTCACAGGAACAGCATCCTCCAGGGAGCTGTAGAGCCCACAACACAGCCAGCACTTGCCTGTGCACACCTGTTCTTTCTGGGGATCCAAATTAGAAGCTTGTTGTTGAAGTTTGTTGTTGCTGCACATCTAAGCCTAATTCTCTGTTACCATCTTTGCCCCCAGTGAATGTGATATTCAGTTCAAGTATGACTGCTCATTTGTCTTATCTGCCGATTGGTTTATAAAGCAAGGTTGTCATTTATTGAGCTCCCAGACTCTAATTCTTGGCACTTATCCTACTATGTTTTGGTTATTTGCTTAGCATCTCTCATCCACTAACCAAGAACATTTTGACAGCCTAAGTCATGATGTACTCATATTTATAGCTGCAGCAAAAGCCTAACAAGTATTTATAGAATGGAATTATAATGGTATTCAAGGGAACCGCCTTTCCGACCTGCTACATGTGTGTAACAACATCGGGACTGGATCAATAATGCTTATCAGTTCAACCCACCAACACTAATTTTGGCACCTTAGTTCTTTACAAATTAAGTGGTCCCTCCATCTAGCTCACTTAGGGTTCTTTATATGAGGTCCTTCCCTTGAATAAGTCCCTCTTTGAGCCATCAGATTGTGCAATTCAAAGACACATCATCTACCCAGTATACAATGCTAGCTGTCCTGCTGGAGATCCCGGGAAACATTGACCTTATTCCCTGTCCCAAGGTCAGAGGACGACCCTCATGTGGAAATCAAATTGATTGGAAATTTCTGTGATGAATTTCTTCTGCTTGGACTTCTAATTGTGTTGGAGTTTCTTCTCCATGAAAGGGGGTTATCATGGCAATATCTTCTTCTGGCTTTTGTTCCTTCCTTCCTTCTTGCATTTTGTCTCTCATCCCTCTCCTACACTCCTGCCAACTGGGAACACTCATTAAGAAGCATGCCTTACACTTTTGGTTCCTAATCACTAGGCCCTTGCTGCTGATTTTGGTCACTTAGACTTTTCTCTCCAACTATGTAAACCTATTAGAATTGTTCAAGGTCCAACTGAGTTACCACCCCTTCCATAACATCTTCCAGATATCTCTAAATAGATGTGACCTCTCTTTCCTGGGGATCCCATAGCCTCTTCCAAGGAATTTAAAATAAACTTGTTTATATTACCCCAGTATCATCTTTCTTCTATGCTATAAAGGATCTGAATATAACTACAGACCAAGAGCCTTACTCTTCTTTTTATTTTCTGCTGTCTTGAATAGGGTATCTTGCATAAAGAAAACACCAATTAATCATTTTTAGATTAAATCCAAATTGAGCTTCAGAGATTGAGGCAGTGTGTGTATGTGTGTCTCTGTGTGTTTGCCCATATCCCTGCACTCTCACAACTATTTGCCAGAAGAGTCAATGTGGCGAGGGCTGGGGAGTGACCATTGGTTCTATGATCCAGGACCTTTAAGATATAACATTGCAAATTTACAGCTGTACCATTTTATAAAGACTAGCTTGAATCTTCCAGGACAGAAATATAATTGATGAGTTAATGACTGAACACTTGATTTGCTGACTGTCTGAAGGATCCAAATTTCTAAATGCTCTTAGTCTTAAAATCACTTAAACTTGATGTATTTTATTTGCAGTTTTAACTGGAACATTAAATATCATTTCTTGCACCACCACTCCCCCGACCCATACATTTGCCTGGCCCTTGCTCCCGCCCATCGCTGGCACCCATAGAGCTATGCTTGCTTCCTGGAGGACAGGCTGCTTGCATAATGACCGTGCTGGCCTTGCAGACATTGCTTCAACTGCGCAGGTAAGTAATTTATTGATCTGTAAAGCACTCCGAGATGCTCTGCAAGGGATTATGTCACGCCAACGCCATGCAATAAAATAAAAAATGATGGACTTTGTGAACACAGGGTGATTTAGGGTTTGTAGTTGGAAGTGTGCTTAAAGTACATTTTAAGTGGAAATCAGTCTGGGTAATGAATTACTCTTGCTTTGGAAGGGCTTACTGGAGTTCATTTTCCTGGCTTCTTACATGATAGCTAATCTGCTAATCATACACTAGAGAACAATGGACAGTCCCCAAGTAGAACAGAAGGTGTTTTGGGCCAAAGCTGTCAGCACAGTAAGTATATTAAATGAGACAATCACACCTCATGCTTGGAAGAATCATCTAGAATTGTCTCCCTCCACTAACAATTGGAAAGCGTCCAACTTCTACTTATGAAGTAGAAGTTGAAGAAATGTTCACTGTCCTTCCAATCCTTCACAGGAGTCCAGCTCAAAGGTGGCAAATGGTTCCAGCGGAGTTTGAAAGGCAGACCATTCATGGCATCGAGCTGAGGTGGTTTGGCCAGAGTTACAATCCCAGTTATCAGAACTAAATTGGCATAGTGCCTAAGATGCTGGGGAATTTAGAGTATCATTTTCTAGGTGGCAAGTGCTAGCATACTGTCAGTATTTAAAATTAAATTGAATTGATAAGGATGTACTATGGCCTTAGCTAATTCATGTTCATAAGAAAGTTCTGGCCAACTAAGATAGAGCTATTTATATATTCGTATTGTTTCCATGGATACATTCTGCATCTTACCTCTTTTCTTTATGCAGGCTGTTAGAAATATATTAGGACTGCTTTGTCTTCCTTCCTTCCTTCCTTCCTTCCTTCCTTCCTTCCTTCCCTCTTCCCTTCCTGTCCCTTCCTTCATCAATATTCATTGATCACTTCCATATACTAGCATCATGCTTAGCTCTAAGAACTCAACACTAAAAAAAGACATAGCCCTTGTCCTCAAGGAGTTTGCAGTGTAGAGATGTAAAAATAGATCCCACAAGTGTATCCCCTTAGGGCACATGGGTGGCTCAGCTGGTTATGCGTCTACCTTTAGCTCAAGTCATTATCCCAGGGTCCTGGGATCGAGTCTTGCATCACTGATGGTGGTGGGGGGGGAATGTTCCTGCTCAGCAGGGACACTGTTTCTCTCTCTGCCTCTCACTCTGCTCATGCTTATGCTCTCTCTCTCTCTCACAAAAGTAAATAAAAAAAAAATCTTTTAAAAAAGTATATCCCTGGGGTGCCTGGGTGGCTCAGTGGGTTAAAGCCTCTGCCTTTGGCTCAGGTCATGATCCCAGGGTCCTGGGATCGAGCCCCGCATCGGGCTCTCTGCTCAGCAGGGAGCCTGCTTCCCTTCTTCTCTCTCTCTGCCTGCCTCTCTGCCTACTTGTGATCTCTGTCTGCCAAATAAATAAATAAAATCTTTAAAAAAAAAACATTTTAAAAAAAAAAAGTATATCCCCTTAATATCCCCTTAAGACATTGTGACATAGAGGAATAGATTTGATGTTGAGGGAATACAGAGGATAGATACCTAAGCCAGCCTAGAGGCCAATGTCATAGAAGATTTTTGGATGTATGACACCCAAACTAAGCTCAAGAAAATAAATACAGATGTAGTGAAAAGAAGGACCGCATGTACCCCAATGTTCATAGCAGCAATATCCACAATAGCCAAACTGTGGAAAGAGTCGAGATGCCCTTTAAATGGATAAAGAAGATGTGGTCTATATACACAATGGAATATTACTCAGCCATCAAAAAGGATGAATATCTAACTTTTGCATCAACATAGATGAAATTGGAGGAGTTTAGGCTGTGAAATAAGTCAAGCAGAGAAAGAAAGTTATATGATTTCACTTATTGGTGGAACATAAGGAATAGCATGGAGGACAGTAGGAGAAGGAAGGGAAAAATGAAGGGGAGAAATCAGGGAGGGGAACGAACCATGAGAGACTATGGCACTGAGAAACAAACTGAGGGTTTTAGAGGGAAGATGGGAGGGGGTTTGAGTTAGCCTGGTGATGGGTATTAAAGAAGGCATGGATTGTATGGAGCACTGGTGTTATATACAAACAATGAATCATGGAACACTGCATCAAAACCTAATGATGTACTGTATGGTGACTAACATAATATAATACAAAAAAAAAAGTTCCAAGAAATGCCTAATCAGTTAAAAAATTAAAGAAAGAAAAAAAGAAGCAGAAGAAAAATAAAAGTGAAT